GAAGAAATGACACTTGGCTACAATGTAAAGTAGTGAGTATACAGCTAGTGTAACAGTGTAAATGTGCTGTCCCCTCAAAGTAAGGCAACACACAGCCATTAATGTCTCAACTGCTGGCAACAAATGCTTAAATAAATAATTACAAAATGTGAGGGGGTGTACTCACTTCTGTGATATAATGTACACACACACACACACGCACACGCACACACGTGCATATATGCAAAGTATTGGTCTGCCACCTTTCTTTTCCTTTGAAGAGGTCCTCGGTGCTCTCTGAAGCTTGGTGGTAGCCTTGCAGACATTTCATTACCCAAACTAAGGTAACATCATCAGTATTATTATCACATTACTAGCAGTCATGATGTTACCTAGTTTGGGTAATGAAACGTCTGCAAGGCCTCCACCAAGCTTCAGAGAGCACTGAGGACCCCTCATTTTAAACAGAGGTTACAAGTATTTTCTTTCTTTGTTGTGTCAGTGCAATGAGGCAGAACGCTTCAACCAATAGCTTGTTGGATAAAATAATAAAATAATTGTGTGTGTGTAAATTAGCATGGAATAGCAAGCTGTATGTGATTGCATAACCTACCTTTGGCCCTAGATACTTTGTGGGAACACAGCCATGATGGGTGGAAGCTGCCGGGATATTATATGCTGTCTGGAGTTGGGAATCTTGGCTTGTAGTCTTGCTTAAGCCCAAGTGTTTTGACCCAAATCCTATATCACAAAGCTACGACACCTTTTTAGATGATCTTAAAAATATCCTAAAATTGCCGAGTCCTTTTGAAGTTGGAATTAATGTCATACTTTGGGTGTGCTGTAGAATTTTTCTGAATACCTTGAATGTTAAAAAGCATAACAATACTACTATTTCAATAATGTGAAATAAGTTGGAAAGCAGCTTAACTACCAAGAAATAAAGGAGAAAAGGACATAATATGTAGAACTGAGAAATTCTGCAGATTATAGAAATGCATAAAGTAAAATGCAAGGTCATTGGATAGGAAATAAGAGATCTTTTCTCAAATGTTTTGTTAAGGAAATCTCAAACAACTGGTCTTTGTTTGACTATCACATTCCAATTTCTTAATCTGGAATCTTTTCATATAGTTACTTAATGTACACTAAACGTATGTAGGAAACGTATGTAGGAATTTGTATCATCCCAAGCCAATGCATTTATAAAGCTTTGTATTGGTTCTTAACAGTGAGATTCTTGCTGTCAAGTAGTGAAAGTTTTCAGCAGAAATATTGTCTAATCCTACCTGAAAGAACCAGGAATTGGACCTGGAACATTTTTACATGCAAAGTACATGCTATGACACGAATTACAGTTCTTCATTTAACAAGAAAATCTGAGTGCCTTACAGTGGATTGCATTATCAGAATGTTTCATGACACTTCATAGTTCCTTATTACTTTATGAGGAGCCTTTTTATATATGTCAATAGCTTTAAGTGCAGATTTACTGACTGTGCTAAATCTGTCAGCAGAGAAATTGTGAGCCACTTTCACTTTTGATTCTTCCGTATTTCCATATGACTAAAATTGTCTATCATTTGTATTTATTACATTAGAATTTAAGTAGATCACCATTGTTGGGTGTAATTAAACTGAAGATATTAAAACTGTCTACAGAATGGAAAGAAATGTTGGAATACAATTATATATTTTTTCAATATGTAATTGAAACCCACCATCCCATTCCAGGTCTTAATAGATGCATCATAGATTTGTGGGACATTTTGTAGAAACTATGAGCTATTCATGTGAAAATCAAGTGATCTGGATACTTTCCCAACAATTACAGTCACGCACTTCCCAGAGGGGAAACCTGTTACTCTCTGAATTCCAGTCAGTGGCCATATATGAGAGGAACTGTAGTCTAACACTATCTGGAGATCAAATTTTTTATTAGTGAATGCATAGCAACATAAACAATTGTTCTGAATGATACTTAATCTTTCTAATAAGTCACCCTTGTGACTTTAAATTCAGAAATGTGTGAATGCTGGGGGATGGCAATAATTCTTACCATTATTTTTTTTTGTATTTTTAATATATAATTTATAACAATGAACCAGTAGCAGTGACTTGACTTTAATTTTGCATAGCTTAACTTTCAACTTGTTTAACTTTCCAGTATTTTTCAGCACAGTAGATTGGAGATCAAGATTGCTGGGTTCACAGGTATATCTTCTTAAGGAAGAACATATTTCTTCTAATGGACTGCTTGTTTTCTTCTCCAGCAACTAAAACAGCAACGAGACAAATTAAAGCAATATCAGAAAAAGATTTCTCTACAGCTAGAACGAGAGAGGATTTTTGCTCGTCAACTACTAAAAGATGGCAAGAAAGAGTAAGTCACTTTTGGACAGAGTTTGAGCTTACAGTTATTTATTTATATTTATTTGTACCCCACCTTTATTATTTTTACAAATAATTTAAGGTTATGTGCAGAAGCGTCACACGTGTGTGAACCAGTAGTAAAAAAAAATGGAAATTCATCACTGGTGTTAATTATATCCAAACATACCTTCCTCCTCCTGTTTTCCCCACAATAACAACCTTGGGAGGGGGAAGTGATTAGCCCAAAGGCACCCAACCAATTTTCATGGCTAAGGCAGGACTTGAACTCACAGTCTCCCACTTCTAGCCTTATACCTTAACCACTTAGACCAGTGGTGTCAAACTAGTAGCCCACAGGGCAGATCCGTCACGTGCAGGCCACGCCCACCCCAGCTCCATGAATGGGAAAAACATCATGTGATGCTGCAAGTTTTGACATCCGTGACTTAGACCAAGCTGTTTCCATATATATTATATGTAGCGGCAGATTTCAATATAGCCTTAGCCGAATGATTCCTGCTGGTGTTTCAGCTGAAACATGCCCTCCTATGCTTTCTAGTTCTCTGCTGTGTATAGTGGAGACTGCTGTTTAGAAATATCCTGGTGTGTCCCAACAATCCTTTCAATTGCAGCATTTTAAGTAGATGCCCCTAAGTTCCAGAATTCTCTTGTCAGGTGGCCTATCTCATTTGCTTACCAACAAACTTCCAAAAGTCAATCAAAAACTTTATTTTTAAGAGAGATTGTGTTGAATAATAGTTCTCTCTGTGTGTGTGTGTGTAAACCATTTGGCTATTTTGGGGTTGGATGTTTCAGGGGGGAGTGATTGCAGCTATTGTGTTTTTCTGCTATTTTCTAAGATTTTATGTTACTATTTTTTTTACAGTAATTGTAAATAATTTAAATAAAAACAAATACCTGGAAACAGTTGGACAGCCAGTGCAATTTATTATTAAATTATGTTGTATTATGTTGACATAATGGCCACACACTTTTGAAACATTTTAAAGGGTTAAAAAGATTTCTAGGGAATAAATATATCAGTTTTGTTGGCTATAATGGTGAGAAATAAGATTTGCTTGACAAGAGGCAATATGCCAGACTAGTACTGTAACTGATCTATATGTTTTTCCAAGGACATTTAGTTAACTTGTCAAGTTATCAAACCCTGAAAGAAGTTATTTTTTTCTATTGTGCTGGGACAAAAATGGCTTGGTATAATATTTTTTCTAGACTTGCTTTTTCATCCATTCCTTTTTTTCTCCTTCTAGGAAAGCCAAGTTTCTGCTAAAGAAGAAGCGTTATGAAGAGCAATTGTTAGACAAAACTGAAAACCAAATTAGCAATTTAGAGCGCATGGTATGTGGGATTGGGTTTCTGGATTGCATCTGGTCACTTGATTTTCAGGATTTCTGAAGTTTGGCTTACATGTAAGCTTCTGCATTTAGTTTAATTCACTTTTAATATAAGAGGATTTCTTCAACTCAGGATTCACGTTGACTTTTATGGTGGAATGCTGTGATTTAAGCTTCCTTTAGGAGTACTGTATATACACAGTGGCTCAGTGGCTAAGATGCTGAGCTTGTTGATCAGAAAGGTTGACAGTTTGACGGTTCAAATCCCTAGCACTGCATCATGGGGTGAGCTCCCATTACTTGTCCCAATTTCTGCCAACATAGCAGTTCGAAAGCATGTAAAAATGCAAGTAGAAAAATAGGGACCACCTTTTGTAACATAGTTCCGTCGGCCTTTGCGGTTTAGTCATGTTGGCCACATGACCACGGAGACATCTTCGGACAGCGCTGGCTCCTTGGCTTTGAAATGGAGATGAGCACCGCCCTTAGAGTTGGGAACAACTAACACATATGTGCGAGGGGAACCCTTACTTTTATATACTCACAGATAAGCCAACCCTCAAAATTTAGTCAAAATACCGTGAAAAATATGTCCCCCTCAGATAAGCCAACCCATGAATTTTTAACCAACATACTGCTAGGCATTTGACTGCTGTTTGTGCAGTTGGGCCATGATGATCTTTTAAAAAATCTCAGCTGCAGTTCGCAGGTAAGCCAAATACAATTTTTGGGGTGTATTTTGATACTTAAAATTATCAGTTTATCTGTAAGTATACACGGTACCCCTAGGTCTTGGTACAAGTATATATTGTTTGTTTTAAGAACAGAATGATAGCTTTGAACAGCGTTAGCTGCTTTAATGGTCACATGATATTGGCAGACCTGTCCCTCGTTCCATCATTTTTTTTTTGTTAGTCATCCAGCCCTCTTATCAACCTTGTCACAGTTGTAATATCCTTGCATTTTAAGGAAAATTGATAGTGTATACATTCATGTGTCCATGTGCCTTTTTGCAAGAAAAGGTGAGAGGCATCAGAAATAAATTTGAACAACCTGTAGTCCTAGTTATTCAGCAGACACTGATAGCAATAGCACTTAGACCTTATAGACCACTTCAAGGTGCTCTACAGCCCTCTCTAAGTGGTTTACAGAGTCAGCCTATTGCCCCCAACAATCTGGGTCCTCATTTGATTCATACAGTGAAGTTATGAATTCCATCCGCCGGCCAATACCGACTGGCGACTACCCGGAGGAGAGCCTTCTCTGTGGCTGCTCCGACCCTCTGGAACGAACTCCCCGTGGAGATTCGAACCCTCACCACCCTCCAGGCCTTCCGCAAAGCCCTTAAAACCTGGCTGTTCCGACAGGCCTGGGGCTAAAGAGCTGTTGCCCCCGTCTCGAATGGTATGACTGTTGTGTGTTTTTAAATTATGTATTGTTATGTTTCGTCTTTTTATTTTCTGTCTCTACCCCCTTCCCTGATTTGAATTGTGAGCCGCCCTGAGTCCCCTTCGGGGGAAAAGGGCGGCATATAAATATAATAAAATCAAATAAAATCAAATAAAATCAAATTATAGAACTTAGACTTCTCTTGCTTTTCTTGCTGACATAGCAAGATTCTCATTTACTAAGGAAATGCTCCTTATTTTGCTTGGTGCTTTACTGTCCATGGATTCTGTAGACCAGATCTAGGCTTTTTACAGACCCTGGGCCACATCTGGTCCTTTCGCTATCACTGTCCAGACCACATGAATTGCTTTTATTTTGAAGACAACTGCTTGGTTATTGTTGTTTTTTTCAATTTAAGTATGTGCGCCTTTCCATGGCTTATTGCATGCCTTCACAGCCCTATTGGTTTGGCCCTACACAACAATCCCAGTTCCTGATATGGCTCCTTGGGAAAACTAATTGCCCATTCTTGCTGTAGACCATCTAAGTGTACAAACTGTCAACTAGTGAAACAGGCTGCCGCAGGCTGCCTTCTGTTCGCTAGAAGTCTTCAAACATCTTCAGATTGCTTTCCTTAACACTTATAGCTAGAATATGGCACTCTGTGATCCTTGTCATCTCTCTTACAGGTCCACGATATTGAATTCACACAGATTGAGATGAAAGTGATTGAAGGTCTCAAAATTGGCAATGAATGTTTAAATAGAATGCACCAAGTAAGTATGATCAGAGCTGCCTGCCCTCTCTTAAATTGCATCTCACTGCCAGTCGTCTTGATGTAAAATTGTGGGGTTTTCTTACAGGTTATGTCAATAGAAGAGGTGGAAAGAATCATGGATGAAACCCAGGAGGCTGTAGAGTACCAGAGGGTATGTATGGCTGGCAAGGTCCCTTCTGCAGTGCCTTAGTGCAAGGCATTGTGTTTTTATGACTTGCATTCCACCACTTCACTCCCTTGAATTTTTAACATGCTTGTTTACATGTAGCATAAAGTACCTTACCATAATACCTGAAGGCATGTATTAAATTAGTCTTGAAGCTAAAACAGATAGGTACAATTGGTCATATATATTTTTGATGTCAGTGAAGGAATTGAAATGTTGGAGATCTGTTACTGCATGTTGTTCACTGAGCCGTCTGCCTTTTTCTTTGCAGCAAATAGATGAGATATTGTCTGGAAGCTTCACTACAGAGGATGAAGATGCTATTTTAGCTGAATTAGATGCCATCACTCAGGTAAGCACCAATTGCCAAGTCAGGGAATTAGTTCAGGAATTGTATTTTGAAATGGTATCTTTTTATGAGGAAGCAGCATTTTTACCCAAAATATTCAGATTACAAGTAGTCCTCCACTTAGGACCAAAATTGAGCCCAAAATTCCTGTTGCTAAATGAGAGTTAAGTGAATTTTTCCCTGTGTTTCTTGCTACAGTTGTTAAGTGAATCATTACAGATAGAACTTAGCTCAAGAAAATTCAAGTAAATAATCTGACAGCATTAGTATATTTATTATTATTATTTTATTTTTGGGGTAATTCTTGATGTTATCGCATATCTTTTAAATTGGCTTCATGTCTATATAATTTACCAGTCCCATACAAGCAGAGAAATAAGTGATTTGCAGAAAGTACAAATCAGAATTCGTTTTATATCTTATCTTCTTGCTGTGAGCAAGAAAGAAGGAAATAAATAGTGCCTCAGTAATCTTCTGATTATTCCTTCTTACAAGTTAGGAAGCCCCTGTAGTTTTTCTACTGTGATGTCCACCAGCAGTTTCAGGGATAAAGGAAGGGATAGTATCTCAGAGACCGTACATTGTTGCTTGACAGAAAATGATGACTATGTATCCGATTCAAATTACTATGAGCAATCCACAATATTTCCTAAAAAACATCTATGCATGTCCCACGCTATACAATACCATAGACATGGTATTGTAATCAACAACCAGCCAGCTGTGGGAGATCTAGAAAAACTTGAATAGCATTGACCCAGGAATTCCAAGAACTATACTAGATGTGAAAAAGACCATTTCAAACCATTTCTTTATTGATGTCAAGAAAATTACATGTCGATCCTCACGCAGTCCTTGTGAATTGAGCTTTATTCAGTCAATAGCTTCACTTATCCAATTAATCAGAATTACCCATCAATAGTATAAAGGCATAGTATAAATAATACAGGCTCAAAACTCGAGAAGTGGCAGACTGATGGTAACATAGTTATTTCCTGTGTATTTAAAAGTTTCATGGTTAATATAAAGTTGTTTCCTCTCTTTAGAATATGTTTCACAAGAACCTTTTTTTCCTCTTTCAGGAGCAGATTGATCTTCCAGAGGTTCCCTCAGAGCCTCTCCCAGAAAGGATTTCAGGTAGTATTATCTGTTTGGCATTTATCCTTTCCTTTTGATATTGCCGTTGTACACAAAGCCAAAGACGGCTTTTGGTCTTTGGCTATGACTAATACATACTTCATTCAAGACAGAAATGACATCCACAGAACATTTACAAATATCTCTAGGGCTGTTTATAATAGTTTGTGTTGAAATTGACTCTGTGTTCAGGTCCCAGCCAGTTATTATAATCTATGCAGAGCTTTAGAGTTAGTAGTTTTAATGTTTGTACCGCTTGGTGGCAATTATTTGTACATTACCTTGAAAGTAGGTGTGGGGTATTAGGCCAGTATTGACAAAAGAGGAAGGCTGAAAAATGAGTAAATTTTCCACTTATATTAGATTTCATTTGGTCCTGGGCCTTCCATACTTCGGCATCTCAGCCTCTAAACTACTATTTTGCATTAGCTGTAGCTCTTTTACCTATTTTGTTGTTACATTCCATATTTTCTCTGAAAACTCAAAGGAGCAGCATGGAAATCTCTTGATCTTATCCTGCTAGCAACCCTTCTAATATGAGAGTGTACCATAGCCCATAGTCACCCTGTGAATTTATGGTTCAATGGAGGTTTGAACTTGGGCGTGTCTCAGCCCTGCACTTTAATCGTTATACCATATTGGTATATACCATATAGACATCACAAGAGGTTATTTTTTTTCACTACATTATAGTCGAGTGCTTCTCCCATTTCAAGCATAGAACATAAATAACCTTTTTAAAGTAATACTTTGTTTATTTAGAAACTGTTAACTGTTTTCCTACCTCTTACCCAATTTTGAATTGCTATGAGAGACTAAAATCTAGAAACTAATTAAAAAAATAAAGTTACTTCTAATTTGTGTCTTAAAACATTTGGTTCCTGTTTTTTGTTCAATTTGCTTGTATCTCTTTTTCTGAAAGCAAACACTGAAATGTAAAATAAATGGGGCTATAGCAAATTTGTAGAGAAAGAAAATAGGAAGCAAAAGGATGAGAACTGAGAAGTAGGACATTTTTGCTGTCTCAGTTTTTATTTGCTATGCAAATGTAGTATTAGTCTATGACTCATTAAAACAGCCACATCTGATTTCAGGATCATGTAGCAATGGGGGAAGGCTTCTCTGCAATGGTTGCCATGGTATGGTCCTAGAAAGCAACACAGCTGCTTAAGCAGGTTCCATATTTGCACTCCTGCATATTCTGAAGCACCTCTTGAAAACTGAATCTATAGCACAAGATGTCAACTATCAAGTGCACACTCCCAAAGCAGTTTCCTGGGTTGTTGTTTTTTTAGCAAGTTTAATTGTAATTTTGATCATGCCCCAAACCCAGTACTCTCAAAAATAGATTGAAAGCACATGTATTTAGAACTGGTTTTGCTTGGACCAGATTATATTCTGCCTAAAATGCAGTGGATTAAAATTGAATCTGGATGAGTGGGAAAGCTTGATAGTTGGTGAGTTCTCAGATGATTGGGAGGGACTCTTCTTATTCTACATTAATATCTTTTCTTTCTCCCGAAGGAGTAAATCTACAATTTGTTGGACAGGTTCTTGGGCCTTGAGCCATCCTTGAATGCGCAGATCAATGAAGTGGTCTAAAGCAGGGGTATCAAGCTCACATCTCGCAGGCTGGATGCGTCATGTGCTGGCCACTCCCATCCCCAGTTTAGCGATGGGGGGGGGAATTGCAGTATGTCATGTGATGATAATGTGACGCCATGAGTTTGACACCCTGGTCTAGAGCATCTTTTCTAACCTGTATATGATTTACTATTTTCTGGAGAGATGTTTTTGCTTTGCTTACCTATCAACTGGACTATTACAACATACTCAGTGTAAAAGGTGTTTTTTAAGGAGAACTGGAAATGGCAGTGGTCATACTTCTCTCAGATGTATCTTAGCAGGAGCATGTGACACATTCTGGCTAAGATGCCCGCCAACAAATTTTTGAATTGGATTCAAGGTGCTTGATACTAAATTTCTGAAAGGCTTGAATACTATTGTCCGGAAGGGAAGATTTCCTGTGTATGTTGTAAGCTCAAAGTTCATTCTTCAGATAAAGGTCCTTTGTATGTGCCACTCTGGGAAGTGATTTTTTGGGAATCTGTAATGCTGGTGTTGGCTCCAGTGCTATGAAGCATCTTTTCTTGATAGTTTTGCTGCTTCCTTCTGACATTTTTTGGAGGCTGGGGAAATTGGGGGGAATTAGTATCTATTTCTGCTCTTTTATTTTTCCCCAGAGAGTGCATTGTGATCTGTAGTCTTTAATGTCAATTTCAGATTGTTTTTTTATTGGTGGTGGTGGGGAGAGGATACTGATTATTTCTTTAGGGTTTACAAAACGTTACAGTATTTTGTACATTTTGTCTTTAGTGCTTATTTGTGGAATGTATCATAGGCTGGCTCTGCTGAGACCATGCCATATATAAATATGAGATATAACAAATATATGAGAGATACCCAACTACAGAATATCATATGTAAATAGATAGCTCTTCTAACAAACAGCAAGATATGGCTTTTATTTTCATAGTTTATTATTGAAATCTTTTCTTTGTTTGACTAATCCTTCCCTTAAATTTGGGCTAGGCCAGGGAGGATCAGTCAGAATCAGAAGAAAACTTTCAGCGAAACTGCACAGGATAGGCTTGTCAAAAATAACCACAATGTTGATCTGCTTGTGCTACAGCATCTCTTGCCACTTGCATTCTCCATTCACAGTGTGATTAATAGTAGCACAATGTAGCCCAGTTGATTGGCATGTTCTTCTATGCCTTGTCACCGTAGCTCTCTCTTAAAAGGCATTAGGTGCCCACTGGGAGAATAGGCTTTATCTGCTGAGGCCAGAATTGAAGAGTGCACTCATAATTAAGCATAGCTACTCCAGAAAGATTGAGGCAGGGTGTGGGGACATTGCATTTCAGCAAGCATTGTGCCTCGTTTGTTAGTTGACCTTGGAAAAAAATCTGGTATTAATGCAACTCCTGAAGAATGTAAAGCACAAACACACAGGTTCTGGAAGATCAGAGATGAGTTCACCATTTACTATTTGGAGGGAATGTTTGTAGGAGCAGGAGGAGGTAAAGAGAACCTATGTCTGAGGTCCTGAAAACCGCTGCTTAGGATTTACTGGCTCTTAAAACCATTCCAAACCAATAACCCCTTCCTCTTTTGTTTTTCCTTCTCCACAGAAAAATCGCACATCAGAGTCAAACCAAAGCCAGAATTGATTGCTGCATCTTAACTCCACTACTACCTGCGGGGTATCCCTGCATTGAATCTCGGAATCCCAGCATGCCTGGGGTATAGGAGGCCTCCCTGCTGGCATTACCCAGCCATCCTGGAGCAGGTTTTCTGCACAGAATGGAAGCTGTAACTGGTTAATGTCCCCATATCAAGGTTATTTTGTAGCGTGCACACTCCTCCTTTTTGTAACTTAAATGGGATTAAACGGTGACTCTTAAACCCTCCAAGCCAAATGCTTTTTGCGACCAGATTTCAGCTACAGACCTGCCTCAGATGCCAGCGGAGCCTCCCTGTTTCTCTCGCTCTCTCGCTCTCTCAGTTCCTGATACACGTTGGAGCATGTTGTCACTGCTCGGCTACCCAGAGGAAAGAACTTCTGTGGAACTTCCTGGCCTTCCTCTGGACACATTTCACTCTGGCTCTTCTGAAAGGCTGTTTTCTTTTGGCAAGGATGGAATCTCCGAACCTTGTTAAATCTGTGGGTTTTGTGTGCCAAGATTTGAGCGTCTCTTCCATTAGTAGTCCCAGCTTCTTGTGTTAGGCTGCCAGTGGGGATCCTAGAAGTTGATTCCATGTTCAGTATGCTCTTGAGGTAAATGCGCTCATGTAGGCCTGGGTACTGGGGAATAATGCAAGGCTGATAGGCTCATTCATTAGACGGAAGGAGTCTCGTTTCCTGCTGGGGGAGAAGTCTAAATGGCTTGCTAAGGGTTTGTGCTTCATATGCTTCCCTGGCCGCCTGCTTTTGCCTCCAGAGTCTCGCAGCATGAAAAGACTGAACAGAAGCTCAGCTTCTGAGAACTTCTCAAAAACAAATGAGTTCAGTCATAGCAGAGGGCTTTGTGATGGCTCCTGCCCACCTTGGATTCATAGATCTGGGCAGTGGGCATACCTTTTGTTTTTAATGACAGAGCCACTTCTCACCTTTATTCGTGAGTTGGTAAGTGGGTTTAAGAGCAGACTGAAGCTGCCACCCTCCCATGGTTCTCCTCTCACAGAAAATCTGAATGTCCCTTCAATTTCCTGAATATAGGATATTGTTAACAGTAGTTAACACTTGAAGACTGGGCTGTGAGCTGAATAGGGTTCCCTTGAGTGGACGGTTCATATATCAATAATACCCCATCATGTTGTATTGATTTTGAAAGTATTCCATTTAGCTTGGGCTGGTGGTTAAACAACGGAGGGGACTTGAAAGTTGTTTTGCCTGTTACCAGGTTGGACAAGATAATGGCTGTATTTGCATTGTTCACCAGAGGGCAGTCTTACTCTAAACCCTGACTACGACTGTGAAGGAACATTGAGTTGTGTGTCTTAAGCTCTGAATTGCTCTAGGAGGGTTGCATTTATTTTTTGTTTCTTCAAGCAAATGGCAAGGGAGCACCTGAAGGAATACAAGGGCCTGCTCTGGTGGTGTCCTGGGTCTCATACAGACGGGGTTTCTTAAAGGGCTTTATTAGACACCCCCCCCCCACCCCCAGTTTATCATACAGCTCAGTGCCTGGGGAAATAGATGGAAGGATGCTTCTTCTTTTTCCTTGCCAGTAAGAACAGAAACGAGAAGAACTAATGAAAACTAAATTTGCAAAGCCCATGAAGAGAAAACACCACTGTGTGCCACGTGGCCTTAGAGAACAGGCTTGGACTTAGCTAAATCGCTTTGTGATTTCCTGATCCATACTCTTCTTGATGACTCAGGTGGAATTAAAAGTGTTGTTCAGCCTCCAGGAAAGTTCTGTCTTCTCCATTTGCTGTCCATGGCCATAATTTGGCTGAATTCCTTTTGGGAGCTCCTTAAAACAGGGAAGGTAGAAGCAGGGTAGGTAGTGACAAGTTGGTAATGCCTTCATTCCCCTGATGTCCTGTTGTGTACCTTGGTTAGGAGCCAAACTCAACATTGGGGATACCATGACATCCTAGTGTTTTTCTTCCAGCAGGAGACTGAGCTAAAAGGTGAAGAGAGATTTGAAGTATTTTACGCAGAAGGAATGAATGAATGGCTCTCTATATTCTTAAGAATGTGGGTCAGGGATAGAGATGTTAACATAGCTTTGCTGCTTTTGGGTTATGTTAGCAGGGTACCCAACTTTAATAGCTTTCTTTAGAGGTCACACCCGAACTGCAAATGTGGGCCAGAAAAAAAGTGCTCTCACTGTGCCAGTCTATCACATCAGCTTTGAATAGGATGTAGGCTATGATGTGGAGCTTCATGAAGCTCAAATGTGAACTCGGGCGCTGGGGTTTATTATGGCTTCTGGGGCAATCTAGTGTTAGCAAAATTACATTTCAGATTGAAATATGAATTCAACCTGTGTCTTTCAGTGGGGAGGGGCAGGGTGTGTTGCTAAGAAGCTCCTTGTATGCATTGTACTTTAGCTTCCTGGATTCAGACATGCTCCTATCCCTAGGAGTCATGTTCCAGTTTAATTCCCCCCAACAAAGAAACTTAAAGGCATTTCCCACTTGGAAGGAGTTCAAACTGCAGCAGAGATTGTGCAATAGACATAGCCCCCAAATCTGTCCTTATCTAGAAGGTGCCTTGCCTTGTCCTTGTCTTCAAGGACTTCCCTGCCTTTTAAACTCCAGGCGAGTTCAGCCTCCGTTGCTCAAAGCCTCACAAGTCTTTCTTTGGTGGAGCTATTCCTATTCTCCTGGGGGTTTGTGTATATGTGTTTGGGAGGGGGGTAGTGCTTGTAGAACTGCTGTACTTGTCTAGCCCTGATGTGGTTTCTATGCCAACTCAATGCAATCCTGGGAGGAGGAACAGAGGAATTGATTCAACAGTGATCAGTTTAGCAAAACCAAAAGGTTTCCTACTCCAACTCTACAGATAATGTTCTAATGTATTCTAATTCTCTGTATTCTGATTGCCTGAAGAAGATTCAGGTTTTATCATAAATGCTTGTTCAACCATTCCTTTTCCCAGAGAAGCTTCAACCTTCAACTAAAGGTAGCTGGGAACTATGTCACTTCACAACTAATACAAATTCAGTACAGGTTTGTCCTCGACTTACAACTGCAACTGAGCCCAAAATTTCTGTTGTTAAGTGAGGCATTTGTTAAGTGAATCTTGCCCCATTCTATGACTTTTATTGCCCCAGTTGTTCAGTGAATCACTGCAGTTATTATGTTAGTGGCACAGTTGTGAAGTGAATCTGGCTTCCCCATTGACTGCTCGTCAGAATGTTGCAAAAGGGGGATCATCATATGATCCCGGGACACTGCAACCCTCATAAATATCAACCAGTTGCCAATGTCTGAAATTTGATCACATGGCCTCAGGGATGCCACAACAATGGTAAATGTGAAAAATGGTCATAAACCTCCTTTTTCAATGCCATTGTAACTGAACAGTCACAGAAACTTCTTAACAATTAACCAGTGGAACAGAAGTTGCCTTCAGAAGCTGTGGATGCTTCATCTCTGGAGGTTTTTAAGAAGAGACTAGACAGTGAAATGGTATAGAACCGGGATGGTGAACCTATGGCACACATGCCACAGGTGGCACACGGAGCCATTTGTCAGGGCATGTGAGGAGAGTCGGGTGGGGGCGGCTGTTTTCACCCTCCCCAGGCTCCTGTAAAGCCTTTGGGGCCTGGGGAGGGTGAAAAAAGCATGCAAAAAATGGGGGGGAGCACCAGTCATGCACACTGGGGGGTCGCGCATTGCATTATGGGTGTGGCACACCTGCGCACGACCCCCCTGCACTCCCCCTGCTTATGGCACACTAGCCAAAAAAGGTTCACCATTGCTGGTATGGGATCTGCTTGAGCAAGCGGCTGAACTAGAAGACCTCCAAGGTCCCTTCCTCTATTCTGATTGATTGATTGACCGACTGACTGACAACATCAACTGTTGTAAGTCAAGGACCTGTACTACATTTTAACTTGTTATTTTTGGTGACATACTATAATCTGCAAACACAACATTCCTGCCATGACTACCAACCACAGGGGCAGAGAGTGTAGTAGCCTCCCGTTCCCTATCTGTCCCCATAGACAGATTCTTTCTCACAGATCCTGGAAGAGGCCTCACTGAACATTTGCCCAGTTCTGTATCTTACACCACCTTGTCCATATTTCTTAGTCTCATTACCCTCATCGCTCCAGGCTTAAATTCTTCAGTGCTGTGAAATGATGGGTAGAAGAATGTAAATGTCAGGCGTTGGCTGTGTTTCCCAGTTAATCAGACAGCAGCTGAAGGAAATACTGATACAGTAGAGCCTCTGGTCATGAACACTTATGACCATGGCCAAATTGGGTGACGACCAAAAATTTTGCAAATTGTTTGCATCTCGTCGCGAACAAATAATCAGGTGGCAATCAAACAAGGTAATTTCCCCATCCCCCGTTGATTTCCCCTTCCGCACCATTTTTTTGGTACACGTATGTGCAGTCAGTCTCGCTTCTGGTCATGACCAAATTGGGTTGCCACCAAAGTCATGAAATGAATTGTGATCGGGACCAGAGGTTCTACTGTATAGGTTAATTTTTATTATCCATTGTCAAAGTTGATTATGATCAAATGCTAGCAAATCCTTAGCTCTTAAATTCCTATCCAATATGATAGAAACCAGAGGAAAAATTACAGATGTTGGCAAACATATCTCAACCAGGGCACGTCCCTCCTAATAATAGAACAGTGTCTTCTGAAACAATATTGTCAAATCCCTTGGTTGCTCATGACCTTAATGGATAGGAATGTTCCCTCAAGTAGACAAGCTGATTGATGATTATGAAAGCGGAAGTAAAATGCATCTCAAAAGTTATTTATTGTACTGGGACTTGTATGCTGCTCCAATCCAGAAGTGGGCATTGAGATCAAGGCTATTTATATCTTGAAGGTTGAAAATGATAATCAAAAGCACATTGCAGGAAATGCGATCTGTTTTAAAGAGGGATGTGAGGTAGTATTCAAGCAATAGGGGTTAAAGCTTGTTTATATATCTGCAGTTTCTCCCAAGGATGCTTCCATCTAATGTCTCACAGTTTCATGCTGCTATATTAAGCCTTGTTTGCTGGCTCTGTTACAGCTAACTTGTCCTGTTTCCACATAATCCACTACTGTATTGTTCTCAGAGGCGTCACATACAGGTGAAACTTGAAAAATTAGAATATAGTGTAAAAGTTCATTTATTCCAGTTATGCAACTTAAAAGGTGAAACTAATATATGAGATAGACTCGTTACGTGCAAAGCAGGATAGTTCAAGCCGTGATTTGTCATAATTGTGATGATTATGGCTTACAGCTCATGAAAACCCCAAATCCACAATCTCAGGAAATTAGAATATTGTGAAAAG